GTCGCTGCTGCCTGCCGGCGCTGCCGGCGCTGCCGCCGCTGCTGCCTGGCCCGCCGGCCGCTCTCCCTGCCCGCCGGGGCCTCTGCTGCCTGCTGCTGGCCCCGCTGTCGCCCCGCCCGGCCCCACGTTTCTGGTCCCTGCCCGCCGGGGCCTCTGCTGCCTGCTGCTGGCCTCGTGACTTGTCCAATATATCGTGCGGGGTCCCCGGAAGTCTCGACCCATTCCCCAGCACCGGATTCTCATCCCGAGTCATTTCTCGACGGCCCCGAGGCCCAGTAGAAGGGCCCCCAGAGACCGAAAATTGCAAAACACCTCCGTCATGATTTTTTCAATGCGTTGGGCATCTGGCTTCGCTGCCCTTTCTTGAAGAGGCCTAGGGAAACACAAATAAATAGAAACAAATAACAGGATTCCCAATCTTTTCCTACATTTTCTGGGTTTTTGCATTCCCCCCCAATTCCTATATTTTCCTATATTTTCTGGGGAATCGACGATCGATTGTGTCTCTGTGTGCTTTTTCCCTCCTGACTTCCGGCCTCCATCGCGCGGGGGGGGGCCCCCAGGGCGGCCCGTCGGGCTCCCCGCCCCGCGCGTCGCCGGTGGCTCGGGGCGGCCCTCTCCCCGAGGAGGAGGCCGCTCGGGCGCCCGGGGCCTGCCAGGTCTCGGGGCCGTCTGCGGACCCACAAAAGCCCTGCGACCCGACGCCTCGAGCAAGATGAGACACCATGACACAGCACGACCGGAGCCCTCTGTAGACCCCATCTGTCTGCGTCGTGCTCCGAGCCCGAGCGATCTCTGAGGGCCCGAGGGCCCGACAAAAAGGCGAGAACGCGGGGCTCGAAACAGGTGAGGCGCCAGGATCCCCAGACCCCCGACGTCATGATTTTTTCATTACGCCGACCCCTGGAGGTCTCGACCCATTCCCCTGGACCAGTTTGTCGTCCCGGGTTGTTTTTTGACGGCCCCGAGGGCCAGCAAGGGCCCCCAGAGAGGCCGAAAGTAGCGAAAAACCTCCCGCCATGATCTTTTCATTGTCCGAGGAGGCCTGGGTCTCAGCGAAGGTTGTCCAGGGAGGCGCCTGGGCTTCACGATCGCCCTCGGGCCGGCACCCCCGGGCGGACCCCGACCTCCCTACATGACCAGAAAACAAGGGCGGCGTCTTTAAACTCGCGCCGACATTAAAATATTCGGCACATTTCTTAAGATAATCGTCGAACGCGACCAAAATCGATGCAACATAACCCAGAAAAAAGTCGCGCAACACCAAAATATTTACTTTCGGTGCGCAAACAAGGAATTGACGCCTCGAGCGCTTGTTCCAGGTTAATCCAAACGCAACCGACGAACTGTCAAATTCAATCCTCACGGTTGTCAGACATGCCGCGTTCGCGCGGTGAACCGAAAGATCGTGCTCTCATGCGTCTGACATTGACATGATATGGCCTAAAAAGGATCATGGTTGACCGATATTGCGCAAGACACATCTGCAACATGCCCCCCCCCCCCCCTCCCCCCCCCCCCCCCCCCTCCCCCCCCCCCCCCCCCCTTTCCCCCTCCCCCCCCCCCCCCCCTCCCGCGCCCAACACACACAACACACAAACACACACACACGCACACACACCACACGCACGCGCGCACACGCACGCACGCACACACGCACACACACACACACACACACACACACACACACACAGCACCACCACCAGGGATGTTTCAGGGGCGGCCCCTGAAACATCCTTTGTGGCAGTTCCTTTATTCTCTTTCCGTGGCAATGATAGCCCACAGACGAACACACGCACGCACACACAAACACGCGCGCACACACACACACACACACCACACACACACACACACACACGCGCGCACACACACACACACCACACACACACAGACCACACACACAACCACCACCACCAGGGATGTTCCAGGGGCGGCCCCTGAAACATCCCTTGTGGCAGTGCCTTTATTCTCTTTCCGTGGCAATGGTAGCCCACACACGCACACACACACACGCACACACACACACACACACGCGCGCGCACAAAACACACACACACACACACAAACACCACCACCACAACGATCGCCACCATCACCGCCCCCCCCCCCAAGAAAAATAATAATTATAAGGAAAACACGCACGCACGATTACGCCCCACCCCACCCGCCCACACACACACACACCCTCTCTCACACACACACACACATCTCGCACGCACGCGCGCACACGCACGCACACAGGCACACACACACAACTCCGCCGCCACCGCCCCCCCCCCCCCCCCCCACCCCCACCACCACAAACACACACACACACACACGCACACACACACACACACACGCGCGCGCGCGCACTCACACTTCGGCACACCGCCCACACGATGTGTGGCCCACTGCGGAGCTCCACCGAAGGCCCCAGTGGGAGGGTCATCATGCAGTGCCACCCCCATCTCGGAACGCCCTCACACGCCTCGTGGCCCCATAGGGCGCTCCACCGAAGGCCCCAGTGGCAGGGCCCACCCCTATCTCGGCGCACCCCCCGCACGTTTCGTGGCCCCGTAAGGAGCTCCACCGAAGGCCCCAGTGCCAGGGCCTGCGTGCACGCCCACCCTCCATCTCGGCGCACCCCTCATGCGTTTCGTGACCCCGTAGGAAGTCCAGGGGCGGGCGGTTCAAAATATGTACGTCGAGCAGCCGTTCAAAAGATTTGATTCGAGCCACCGTTCAAAAGATTTGGCCCGAGCAGCCGTTCAAAAGATTTGATTCGAGCCGCCGTGGGGAGCTCCACCGAAGGCAAACCTCAACGACCGATGGGTCGGGGGCCTCCTGAAATTATGAGAGGGCCCTCGGGGGGGGGGAATTATGGCAGGCCATTGGGGAGTCATGAATTTTCGGGTTTCCCGTCGTTCGGATGGTTGGGGCGGACCGCAGCAATTGTGGTTCAAGACTTTCTCCAGCGTCCGAGCCGCGCCGACAAACCACCCAAGCAAAATGCTTGCTGTTGCTCCGGGAGAGACTGCAGGGCGGAGGCCAGCAGCGAGAATAGATTTGGACAAAATCAAGGAGGCCTTGGATGTGGTACCATCTGCGGCAATGCAACCCAGCAATTTTTTCCCGTACGGACACACAATCGATTTTAAGCGAGCTCCAAATTGGGAAAAAGCAGCAAAATACGCGGCATCAATCAACATGTTGCTCGAGGCCAGTGGGGGTTACAATTTGGTTCAGTTGAACATGTTCAACGGTTTCAAAAAATGGGCAGCGGATTCTGGACAGACCTACGACGTCTCCGCATTGGAGACGGCGGCGTACCGTTACAGGGCGATCATCTCCCAGATCGCCAACCACAAGAGCAAGATCGACAGGCACGTGCCAGAGATGTGGAAATCTAAGTTCCAGACTATATGGGACAAATTGGTCGTCAAAGCAACTACTTCGACGTCCGAGGGCACTGGCGGCACGGAGGGCGACGTGGAGATCGTCGAGCCGAACGCGCCTGCCCCCATCGTCGTGGAGGTCTCCGACTCGGAGGCGGAGGACATCCCAGATCCTGGTTTGTATGAGTCTGAAGACCCCACCCTTCGTCGCCTTCTCCGCGACGAGCCTCTGCGGCGGCTTCGGGGGAAGACCACCTACGGCCCCGCGATCGTCGAGGTGAAGGGCGCCGCAGTCGTTGGCCCCTTGAGCGCGAAGGAGATGGACATGCTTGGCGACGATAATGCTCAGGGCATGTCGGCAAAGGCATGGAGAGAGTTCCAAGCGAAGCTGAAAAGGAAAGAAGTCACGCTGGACGGCTCCAGAGTGGTGGCGGTCGGCACTCCCAAGAGCACGGCCAATCGCACGCAGCCAATGAAGACCATCAAGGGCAACAAGAGGCCGATGAAGAGCAAGCGCAGGAAATCTCCATTGGAGAAGTTCCTCAACAAGGAGCACTCGAAGGTGTGGCACGGGGAGAAGTCACGGCTTGCTAGCATTGGCATCTCCAAAACATCCGCCCAGGCCAAGCAGATGGCGGGCAACAAGGCGAGGTCCCACGTCAAGGCATTGAAGGCTCGGATTGCTGCGGGTGAGAAGTTGTTTTGATGTAGTAGCAGGCTACTGGTCACGGGCCCTCGCTAGCGCATGCATGGCAGAAACGTTCCAAAGCGCCGATGGGGAGGCATTTGATACCAGATGACAAACAGCAAAAAACATCGGCGCAATCAAGATGGCCATCGTCCACCGCACGAATACCTAACATTACCATCATCACCATGGTCATCAACATCAACATCATCATCATCATCATCCTGGTTGGCCCTGGTGCCCTTTTGTAGTCGGCCCGGAGGCCAAAAAGGGCACCAAGCGGGATGTCACCTAACTGGGCATCATCATCATCACCATCATCATCATCATCAACATCAGCATCAGCATCATCATTATGTGGAACTGTGGCACCACGGTTACCACCTTGACTACCAGTATTGCTACCATCGCGAGCGTACCCATCCTCACCATCATCTGCGTGAGTGCTCGTACCCGAGAGACGTGAAGGCTTCACGATCGGACACAGATGGTGACACGATGTAGGCGTAAGCATCTTATGTTAGATTTCACCCCGCTGAGCGGCGACTGCGTATGTGCATGGACACTCTACACGCGTACAACGACATACGTTATCTAATGGGAGCGTTGCCTGTGTTATTGTGAGTTCAATCGCATGTAGTATTAGCCCTTGGAACATACCATCTACGGCATCCCTTCAGGAGGCAATCGTGTGGCTTCAATGGGCCCAGGTTGAAGACGCTTCCTCTTCATTAGGTTCCATTGTCAGGCGTCCGTAGCATCTCGGCTCAAGAAGGCCCATTCTGGTTTGCAGGAGATCTTGCGATGGCGTCGCAGGCCGTGAGTGTTGACTCCCAGGAGGAATACGGAGCAGACCACACCGAGTACCACGATGAGTTGGTGACGGCTAAGGATGGGCTCGACACCATGATGACCGTCGTCGGCGCGTGGATGCACAAGTTGGCCAGCATCGACAAACCTCGTTACGTTGAGAAGCTCAGTCTCGACATTGAGCAGCTCGCAACCGAAGCTTCCATGCTGATCTCCTCCATTACTATGGTTCTCAATGGGCCCCCTCCCGAAGAGCACGTCGAGCCGAAGCCGATGATCAGCCATGCACAGGGCCTGCTCGAGAAGTACGAGTCGTTGCGGCCCCACGCAAACTTCTTGATCGAGCCCGCGAGTTCTCCTTTGAAGCGCCACCCCAGCGATGAGAGCAAGATTCCAGCAAAGAAGTCGTTGAAGGTCGAGGGCGCGCCCGCGGACGCCACCCTCGAGAAGCCTGCGGATGCCGACCAGGAGAGCGACGAGGAGGGCGACAGCGACATTCCCCAGGATTCCCTGGTCTCCTGAGTGCTACGTGTTCTCCGTCTCAAGGTTCACGCATGCTAGCAGTCGCGGTTGTATATATTGCTAGCTCTGCGGACGCATTTCATAAGATTATCAGTTTTGGCCCCCGAGGTTCGGACAGGAAAAAACACCTGGTTGGGAGGGAGGGGCATGGCGACCCTGAAGCCCCGAGCACGTCGGAGACATGAGCATCATATTTTGGTTCCCAGTCGCTGTAGGACTGAATTCCTAGAGCTCCGATCCACCTCCTCTTCCTCCAGAGGCAATTCGGCTCCAGGTTCCTGTAAGTGGCAAAACTCGAGGTTGCCTGAAGGATCCTTCGAGCACCCCGACCTTCGTCCCAACCTCGGCCTAAGCCAACCCCCAACCAATCACCACGTAAGCGATCAAATAACGAAATACAGAAACATGCAAACAAGAGGAAATCAGATGAGCAGAATCGAACTCAAAATGACATAATACACCAGAAACGCAGAATGCGACATACAGAACAAGACAAAAACAGAAAAAAACAGAAAAAGACAGAAAAAAACAGATTCTGTTTTTCTGAGGATTTTGTATATATATATGTACAGAATACAAAAAAACAGATTCTGTTTTTTTCTGTTTTTTTCTGTTTTTTTCTGTTTTTTTTTGTATGCGCCGGTGTGCCGGTCCAGTCTTGGCTGTTCGGGCCTAGGTGCGTTTGCAGAAACAGTGGTTTCGTAGGGGGTGATGTGGTGATATGGCAATGTGGGGCTGGGGAAGGTGCGAATGAATGGGTTGCCCGAAGTATCCAGCCGCAGTCTTGGCAGCAATCATGGCGCCTAAGAAGAGGAAGGGGGCGGCTCCCGTTAAGGCCCCCCTGCCTGCGTACAGCATCGCAGCACAAGACCTCGAGAGGGCGAAGCAACTTCTCAGCAACGAGGAGGAGCTGAAGCGTCAGCGCTCCAATCTCTCGTGACCTGGAGTGGACCCAAGACTGCTTTTGCATTTCTGCGGTTTGGCAGTGTCTTCTATGTCGGGGGGAGGTCTACGCCCACGTTCTCGCACGGGGTTTTGTGCCAGTAGCTGCATCGATTTTCTATTTCGTAACCTTATGGTATTCACGTTAGGGGGGGCTGTCTTACTTCACTATGGGTTTTCATATGCAGGTATTGGTTGGACTCTGTTGGGGCCAAGGACGCCTACTCGGCCAAGGGGACCGAAGAAAAGAAGGCCTTCCTCACGCAGTGGTTCGCTGACAAACTGGTGAAGCTCGAGGGCCAGAACAAACTTTCTACGATTCGCACAGCTGGCACCTTGAAAAAGAAGGAGGAGGACTTCGAGTGGATGTCTAAGGAAACGATGATCGCTCGCCTTGGAGCGCGGAAAGCGCAGAGTAAGATCGACTCAAATACTCTCAACCACAGGCCTGATCCAGACACAAAGTTAGATGGTGAATTCGACCGAGAATATAAAGTGTTCTTCTCGAAGGGCGGCGAGAGCGAGTACCACGACGACAAGAAGGACTTGAGCAACGAGCAGGCGCTCGATACCGAGCAGGCGGCGAAGGAGGCGAAAGATCACTTCGACTCGATCGTTGCTAATACAGCAGGGTCTTCAGCTTCAGGCGGAGCCGTCGCGCCAGGGCCTGAGGCAAGCGTGCCGCCCGTCACGATCAAGTCTGAGTTTGGCGAGTTCCAACACACGGTGGACGCCTTCAAGAAGGACCCGCGGAAGGTCTGCTCGACCACAGCCAGCATGCTGACCGACCTCAAGAAGATCTGGACCGAGTGCAAAAACAACAAGTACGCCACGGCAGTGCACGAGGACGCGCAGAAGCTCATCCCGAAGGTGAAACAGGTCCATGGGATCATGGAGGGTATGATTGTGCAGAGCAACATGCAGGACGACCACATCTTGGCGATGGCGCAGAAGCTGGACCCCCTGTTCACACAGTTCAACGACCTCAACGAGTGGTACACTAGGATCTCGGGCGCCCCTCCCAAGGCGAAGAAGGTCAGGAAGTTGTAGGTGATTCGAGGCATGAGCTGCCGCTGTGCCATTCACGCTGGCGATCAGACCAGCAAGGAGCGGGAAGGCGCCCGACAGGATTCCTGACAGTCATTATCGCCATGACGACGTCGAATTTACTATCTGCGAGTTGTTATCTTGCGTTCGGCCTAACTTGTTCACGAGGGCTTGCTGCTGACGGTTTGTGAGGAGATAACACTCCTTGTTTGATTTAGTAGCAGGCTACTGGTCACGGGCCCTCGCTAGCGCATGCATGGCAGAAACGTTCCAAGGCGCCGATGGGGAGGCATTTGATACCAGATGACAAAAAAAACACAAAAAACATCGGCGCAATCAAGATGGCCATCGTCCACCGCACGAACACCTAACAGCACCATCATCACCATGGTCATCATCGTCAACATCATCATCATCATCATCATCGTCCTGGTTGGCCCTGGTGCCCTTTTGTAGTCGGCCGAGAGGCCAAAAAGGGCACCAAGCGGGATGTCACTTAACTGGGCATCATCATCATCATCGTCGTCATTCTCATCATCATCACCATCATCATCATCGTCATCATCGCCACCGTCAACATCATCATAACCATCATCCCCTCTGTTGTCGCTATCGTTTCCGGAGGAGTGGAGCGCCGCCGTCGACGTCGTCGCAAGAGCGTCTACGTCTCCGGAGGATATCACAACCAGAGTCTGATCTCGACGCCTCGGCCTGAGCCACCGGTGTGGCCTAGCCGCGTTGAGAGGGAGGGAGGGAAGAGGAGGAGGGGGAGGAGGAGAATGAGGGCTTTTCAAACTCGAAGGTCCTGCGAGTGTCGCGTCTGTTGGGGCAGCTGTCATTCCCAACATCGAAACGACGGTCCGTAGCCATTTGGGCTCAGCCTGATTTCATAATGAAGTTGCACTTCGCGGTCGCACTTCTGTTATGCGTTCGATGCATGTCTCTTCGCAGAGGAGGGATCAAAAGGCGAATTGAGGAGGCCAATCATGATGTAACTCCTGCTGCTTCCTCGTCGTCGGCTGGAGGCGCGAAGAAACGAGTTGTAGCGGCCCACGCTGAATCATTAACTTCTGGGAATAAACACACCCCTTTCAGCTCCGCCGTGAAAAGAGACTGGGGCCGCGGGAAACTTCCTGCAAACGTTGCGCAGGAGTATTGTTCAAAAGCTTCAGCCCAAGGGGCCAAGGACATAGGCAAACTTTCTCGCGTTTCTGATCTCCGTCACGCTCACAGAGATTTCTCCAGGGCCGTTGGGTGGCCAATCGGATTCCCCAAACTTGAGTGGATTGACATACCAACTGCACAAGGGCCCTGCACGCCATACCCGATCATTTGCCCAATACAAATGTTTGAGTCAATTCTTGAAGATACAAGCAAATTCAATCGAGTTCTCAGGGGGGACGACAACGAAATCATACAATTTTGGGAAGGCATGCGCAGAGATGTTGTATTTACAGGCATACGAGATATGGTTGACACTCGGAGGTCGATTCCCTTGGGCGTGCACGGCGACAAAGCTGCAACAACAAAGACGCAATCACTGTTGACGATTGCTTGGACGAGCTTGTTGGGTTCGGGTCCCACCAAGGATACACATCAAATCTTCTGCGTTGTCAAATCTTCAGATATGATTTCTGGAACTTTAGCATCCCTGTGGCGGAGATTGTCATGGAGTATGAATGCTTTATGTGATGGGTGTATCCCAGCGCTCGACTGGAAAGGCCGGCCCCATCCTGAGGCAGGTCGCAGGGTTGGGGGCGAGTGGAGAGCTGCATGCATACATTTCCGCGCTGATTGGGAGTTTGCCGCTGATCCTGAAACGGTCGGTGCACCCCAGTGGGGGGCAGAGCCAAACATGTGTTTGTTTTGCAACGCATCTAACAGCGTGCCAGGCCTACGATGGACTGATTTCAGACCCGAAGCGGGCTGGAGACCCACAGTGAGATCGCATGAGACGTTCAAACATATCTTGATTGGCCAAGGCAAGGCTTTGCCTCCCGCGTTCTCCATAAAAACGCTCAGGCTGGAAGGGGTGCAACCAGATGTATTGCATGCGGTTGACCAAGGGCTCGCGTCGCACTGCATTGCAAATGTCTTTATCGAGATAATGAGAACCAATCTGGAAGGATCCAACTGGGCGGAAAAACTCGCTAGCCTTCAGGCCAGATTGAAAGCGTATGGATCACAGACAAAGCACAAAATAGACGGAGAGCTGACGTTCGAGCGCATCAAGACGAAAGGAGACTGGCCTAAATTGAAGGCCAAGGCGGCCAACACGCGACACATCTCTCGTTTTGCGCTGCTGCTGTGCGAAGAATTTGGTACGCCAAACATCCATGACAGGCGGCGTTTGGGCATTATGCAATGTTTGGTCAGATTCTATGATATAGTTGAAACCGAAGGCCGCTTCCTGTCTGAACGGGTAAAGCGCGAGCTACCACAACTTGCAAAAAACCTTTTGAGCATGTATGCTGCCCTTTCACTTGAGGCTATCAATTCAAATATACGTGCCTGGAAGATGGTGCCCAAATTCCATATATTCCAACATATGTGCCAGTCGCCCACTTTGAACCCAAGGGTTGGGTGGACATATGGAGATGAAGACTTGCAACGATTGATAAAACAATCAGGTGTTTCTTGCCACCCAACCAGATTGCCAGAGACGTGCATTCACAAGTGGTTCGTCTTTCTTTCTGAATCCCAGTGCGACGATCGATGACGAGTTGCTCACGTGCAGTGTTCGCACCAGGGAAACATGTTATTTTATCACGAAGGCTGCCGCCTCTACCGCATATTCGTTGAAGGCTGCCGCCACTACCGCTAACCTAGCGCTGTAAGGCCCTTGCTTCTTTGCAAGGTCATTGCATCCTTCCGTGCCTCAGGGGCCCGCCTTCCTGAGCCTGCAACAACATGGAGAAGGAGGGAGGAGGAAGAGGGGAGGATAAGGAGGAGGATGAAGGGGGAGGGATCAATATAAAGATAAGGACGAGGAGGAGGAGGATAAGGACGATAGGAAAGGGGAGAGGAGGAGGAAAAGGACGACGACGACGATTTTCCTCGGAGGCCCAAATATGTGACCCCATTGCATGGCTGGGGGGGATCAACACCCAGCTAAAGAAAATATGAGCATGGGTATCGATAAGTAGTCTAACGCCGACGATGCTCGAATGCGGGTAAAGTTCGTGATGGAGATCATGACGATGCTTTGGTGATGATCGTGATGATAAATGACGCGCCGAAGTGGCGCGTCAATTATTTTTGATTGACGCTCGCATTACCTGTGGCGTCAGACTGGCCAGGCTCACACGACAAACTGGGTGACTCGGGTGGTCGGGGGACGTTCTCGCCTCTGGGGGTGCACCGCTGCAGGCCCTGCCCGCCTGCCTGTCTGCTATATATATATATATATATATGTATATATAGAGTGATCTGCTGCCACGGGGGGCGCCCCTGGCGGGCGGCAGGAGGAGGCGTGCAGTCCCGAAGGCGTCCCAGACATGCGGCGCCCTGCGCTTTTTACATATCGGGGCCCCGGAGAGTCCCGACCCGTCCCCCGGGACCGGCTCTTCATCCCGAGTCCGTCTTTTGACGGTCCCGAGGCCCGGCGAGGGCCCCCCCCCCAGAGGCCGACACTGGTGAAACACCTTCGGCCCTGGAACAACAAAGCGGCGCGAGATCATGTCTAGGACTGCTGCCACCCCGCCCCCCCTGCAGGGAGGCGCTTGCCAAGGCCTGCTCGGCGCCGAAGCCCGCGCGGCGCTGGGCCTGGCTCGGGTGCACCTGTGCCGGCCGGCGCGCGCGCGCGCGCTCGCGGCTCGGAGCAGGGCGCCGCTCCTGCGGCTCGAGGGTTAGGTCGGGCATGCCCCCCCAGCAGGCGGAGTTTGGACGAAAACTAGAAGATGGGCAGAACATACGCCCCCAATGGCCAACAACAGTCAAACCATCGTCCCCAGCGCATGTTTTGACTATTTTTGAATATTCCTCCTGTAGAGGGCCAGGCCCGACATGACTCAAAAGTCCCCCTCCGCGGCCCCACCCCGCCTGTGGACCCCCAGGCGGCTGCGACTCGACGTTCAGATCGTGGTCAACCAGCTGCTCTCAGAGGTCATGCAGTGGAGGCCAGTCCACAAGAAGCCTTCCACGAGAAGCCCAAGCCTGAGACCCCAGGGCGCCCACTGATTTCTGGCGTGGGAACACCGCGCTCTACATCGCAAGACCATCGAAACCCAAGAAACCCAGGGCACCCTGGATGCAAGCAGGGTGCTTCTTGGCATGGGTCTCCGATGTATTTCCTTGGCCTCCAAGTGCGGCTCGGTTGGCCCCCAAGAAACCCTCTCCTCTTCGGCACAACCTCGCCGACAGGTCGGAAGCTGCTCGGCGCTACAGAGTGACGAACCGTTGGGTGAATTTTGCGTGCCTGTCGGGCTAACTTCTGCGTCCCAGAGCCGCTTTTCGGGCTCTCGGGCGAACTTCTGCATGCAGATGTCTGCGCTGTTTTGGACGCGCTCTGGGATCCATCTTTGGCCAGTTCTGGGCCCCACCTGGACCCCAGAACGAGCCCCATCCAGCCTCGACCTGGGCTCGTTCGTAGATACATTCGGACGGGACTTCGTCCTGGCACGGGGATGCCCGCGCTTGAACCGTCTGGAGGCCCTCCTGGGCTGCCGCGGGACTCGTCTTGGCACTCCTCTGCCTGGCCGCCGTGGGGCGCCTCTTGGGCGATCTCTGGGCACTCTGGAGCTGCCTCGGGGCGGCGTGCTGGCCTCCGGCGAGCCCCTCTTGGCCCTCGCTCGGCACGCCCTTCGCCCGCCCTGGGTGGCCCCAAGGCGGCAACGCCGCACACGCCCACTTCTCACGCGCGGCGCCGCGAGGCGTGCACGAACGACGGCGACCGCAGGCACACCGGGCCGGCCGCTTCGGGCGGGCCCTCGGGGCCGGCGGCACGCGCCTGTCCTGCGCCACCTCTGCACTGCCCCGTCGCGTGCCGCAGGAGGCGAGTGGAGGAGAACGGGCGGGAGGAGGGAGGAGGGGAGTGGGACGGCGCGAGGGAGGGAGGGCGAGGGGCGAGAGGGCACGGCAGCACAGGGCACGCCCTCCTCCTCCTCCTCCTCCTG